ACGTGTTCCTTGATTACGTAGAGTTTGAAGATATTCCCTCTTCTTTCTCCTTCTCTTTTTCTTTCTCTATCGATACTAATTTAATGTAAAACGTGAAAAATAACGGGCAACAAACTGACAAATTACTCGGCCCGTCGGGATTATTGATAAAGTTTAAACAGCCCCGGCGAACTTTGTGAATTCGGAGTCGCGCGGATTAATTTATGAAACGTCAATTTATTAATTAAGCACGCTCGGCCGGGCACGGTGAGTCGAGCAGCCGCTTTATTATTAATCGGTCTATTATGTTGCATACGCCCGCGGAGGCGCGGCAATTGATATTTCGTTTGCAGTCGTCGGTTCACTCTTTCGTATTTCGCACGTGACACTCTCACAATCGCCGCTCGTTCTCGTCGTGACGTCAACCGTCCGGTGCAATTGCAATTATTTGCGGCGTTTTACCTTTCGCGTCTGTGTACCTTGTTAAAATACACCCTTGAATTCGTTCGGAGAGTTGCAAATTACTCGTGAAACGCGCGCGCCAATTTTTCTTAATATATCATAAGCTCAGTGATATTTTTTTTCCTCACTCCCAATTTTTCAAACACAATGTTGAGTAGAGATCCGTCTGTTTCTGTCAGCGACACGCGCGTTGAGTAATGCGTTATCGAATCGTCAGTCGCACTTGCGATCATTTAGAAAAACGTTCGTGTTTTCCCGTGTTGAAATTTTGACGCTACTTTGACATTCTTAAGGATAGTTTGAACATAATTAAATACTCTGTAAGTTAGGGAAATTATACTTTGACGATATTACATTATTAACTCTGTTTTAGATCTCTGATTCCATACATTTAATTTTAACTTTCCTACTACAATTTCAAGCACATTCTAAGAGGAGTAATATGAGTTATTAGATTTAGATTCTAATCTTAGTTTAATATTAATTAGTAGAAGTTAGGTATGCGGCTTTTGTTTTAAACGTTTAATTAGAAGGAACTTTTTGAATCCATTATTAGAACATATTTATTTATAATTTTTACTATCAACTTTGAGAATGTCGATAAAACCTAGTCGATGATCGAAACGTTTGTTTTTCATATATATTGTAAGGACGATTAAATGATAGCAATTAATAACTTGCTTTTGCTCTTAACCCTTTTCTATTATACAAATTTGATTTTATTCAATTGAGCGTCGTTTTAGGAATTTTTTAATTTTAACGTTACCTTGAAGTTATGAATGTTCTCAAAATTCTCATGCTACTTTGACACTTAGGCCAGTATTTATAGTCAATTCTTATATTCAAGACTGTCTTAAGTTCTGTTTTGAAGTGTCATGAGCCAATCAGAGAGCCGCATTAGCAACTTAAGATATTACTTAGGACGGTCTTAAAATAAGAATCGACTATGAATACTGGCCTTAGATGTTCCATAATTAGAAAAAAATCCTACATAGAAAGAACAATTTTAAAGTATCTAAAAATTTAATTAGATCTAAAAATTGTGTTGAGCCATCAAAATAATTATGTAGAACGCTTAAGTTGTAAGGCAAATGCAATATGTTAAGAATTACTTCAAAAAATTACAGATTATTCTAAATTGCATTTAAAAGTAATACAAAAAAATTAGAGACAGTTGACCATCTGTATCAAAGTTATTTCCATAAAAAGTAATATTTTTTTAAATTTGTACTCTAATAGAAATATATGAAACTGTATTACAAAATAATGATAAAAATCTCAATATTATATAGATTAAAAAATATTTATGTAAAGTTACATTGAGATGCAGGCATTAATTGTTCAGTAAATAAACAAAATATTTATTTGTTATAAACTAATTGGTGAATCTCAATGAAACTTTGCATAAGTCATGTTTAGTACTTAATATATTTATATAAAAAAAATTTTATTATTTAAAAAATTTTTGTTTATAACAATAAAACTAATAACAAATAAAATAAATAATCTTATAAAAACGTGTTGCTCAATAAAAACAGAATGTTATGTGAACACAACTTTCACATGTATGTAGTTTGTTTAAAGCGTAAATATTAATATATGTGTTTTTTGCCCTTACAATCTCCTTAACGTTGATCACAATGCAAAAAGTTTTAATTCTGGCAACCAGTTTAAATGTTTTACGTAATTATTTTGATGGTCCAAATGAAATTACTTTCAGATTTGTATCTAGCTAGATTTTTAGGTACTTCAACAAAATCGTGCTTTTGTGTACTTAAATATTACGTTGGTGATTTTTCTTTATATGATTTACTTAGGAAAGAAATAATTTAAATGCAAATTTATTGATGCTCTCGTAATTGTATTTTTATATGTAATTAACGAGAAAGATTCAATGCCGTTCCTGGATCATCGATCCGTGAACAACTTTAACGCGCGGTTTGTAGATTCGCATCGAGAGATAAAAGCGGCGAAGTTATGCGGCTCTCCTGTAACCGCTCGCGCATACCGGGTGTCCTTGCGGAATGAAAGTACTTGGGAAACGTGACCTCTCCCGTTCCACGTATGAGTAATGCCTGTGCTTAGCCTAAGCGGCGTTTCGAGATTCCAGCCGACTGGTCACAATCGAGCGAGGAATGCGCTTTTCTATTAGCGATCATTATCATAAAAATATACTAACAGATAAATAACTAGGTGGATATGCGTAGAGAAATGCCATTGAAGTCAAAGACCTGTGAGAGAATTTGCAGATTTGCCTATTTTAAAATTCGTAATCCTAGAAAGTCATGGATTCATATAGAGGAGAAGGTGGCATTATGGCACCTCAGTTACATTTTACACAATAACTTTGTTAATAATCAATATTTAAGTTTAAAACTTGACAATTACGTTCGTTAAAATGTTGTTGAATCGATTCTGGACTCAAAGTTACAAAATATTTATTACTTAGGATACTATTAATAAAAATGTGGCGACATTACATAATCACTCAACGAAAAAAGCGGATGGTAATGTGGCCTTCTATAAAAATAGTCTTAAAATATTAGTTTTATTTAGAAATCAGTATTTGGTTACAAAATTAACAAAAAAGTAAAGCATTTTAAAATGTATGTAAATGAATGTATATACATTCATATAACTTCTGTATATAAGTTGCTCAGTAGGGGAGAGTGGTCTAAATCGGACCGTGTTCTAAATAGGACCTTTTTAATTTAAATGAATACGGTTAAGCAGATTTGCGTACTATTTATAACATAAAGTCCTTATAAGACACCGAACATGTGATAGCAGTTTGATAGTTCTCTGTCATAACATTCATAAAATAGAGGCAAATATGTATTTTCAGCCATCGTGCGAAAATTTTTTTAAAAAAGAAAATCCTTGTAAATCATTATTTAAAAGGTGTTAAAAATTTG